GTAAATGTTTAAATTAGCAAGAGCAGGGATGTGGAGTTCAGATACAACCAGTGTACTTCATCCCTTTTGTTGACTATGTGTCCATCACGATCCAGCTCTGTGTCTGTGGTCTTGTGCCTTGCGAAGTAGGAATGGGCTCTTAATAAAACCTAGCTTTCCAAACAGTGCATCTGAGTGGCTTGATCTTGTTTTATATCAAGGGGCTGGATCATGTTTCTATGGCTCTCATTATCATGATGTGCATTTTGCCTGTGGGGAAAAAGTATTACCTCGTCATAATTCTTAATTATACTAATCATTCCCCTTCCTTGGTTATTGAGAATTATAGCTAATTTAAAGGGAAGATTGGATTTAAGGGAAGTTGAAAACGTACGTTGTTAACAAAACTGCTTTTAAAATCCCTTTAGCAGTTTTCTTTATTGGGCATGTAGCAACACCTAGTGGCTTTATGGATTATTTCAGAGACTATTTCTAAAAAGAGCTTCTTGGGTTTTTTCCTCCCTTTATTGAATCTCTACTTATTTGGTATTTTTTCTTTCCTCTTAATTGATGAACAGATATCTTCGATCTCTATATTTTGTTATGTTTAGAAAGTAAGCTGGCTTTAGCTGAAGAATGGTTGTTGAAGAATGATGTTTCTCCATAAAAAGCATACCCCATCTAATAAGTAATTTATGATACTGTAAATACAAACAGCAAGGTGATATTGCAAGGTGACAAGGTCTAGGATCCTCTAATAACATTAAACAGGAGTCTTTTGTGGGAAATAACCTCTTCCTTCCATGTGGATGTAATGCCAGATTTCTTTGCCAAACATTTACATGTATGCACAAATATATACCCTTGCACTGGATGCCTCATTTATCAAACACTCAAGAATGAATTCTACCTCAGTACATTTTCCATGTCATTCAACCATTTTTACATTTTGAGATTTTAGATGGAAATATGTCTAGCATGTATCACATGCATTTCTGCCTTTTAATAAGGGATATATTTTATAATTATTCTTATCTTGACAACTTAGAATCACAGTTAGAAATATTAATTATTACATTTAGGAAAAATTTTAGGACTACTTGCTCTATTTTATTATTTTTTTTAATTTATTTTTTAGCTTTTGTGATAATCCACTTTACTAAATAACCGAGATTTTTAAAAATTTTAATACAATTTTGGAAGGTTACTTTCCATTTACAGTTTTTACAAAATATTGGCTATATTCCCCATGTTGTACAGTACATCCTTAAGCCTATCTTACACCCAATATTTTGGTTATTTGTTTCTTGTTTTTTTTTTTTGCGGTACGCGGGCCTCTCACTGTTGTGGCCTCTCCCATTGCGGAGCACAGGCTCCGGACGCGCAGGCTCAGCGGCCATGGCTCACAGGCCCAGCCGCTCCGCGGCATGTGGGATCTTCCTGGACCGGGGCACGAACCCGTGTCCCCTGCATCGGCAGGCGGACTCTCAACCACTGCGCCACCAGGGAAGCCCTGGTTATTTGTTTTAAATAGACTACAATGCTTTATAGAACATTTGTGTTGTAAATCAACTATGCTTCAATAAAATTTTTTTTAAAATTTGTGACTACAGTCTTTTCGCTCTGTGTCTTCTTGCTGGTGGCATTGTTTCTTTTTCAATGCTCTTCCTTTTTTTAAAAAATTTATTTATTTTATTTATTTTTGGCTGCGTTGGGTCTTTGTTGCTGCACGTGGGCTTTCTCTAGTGGTGGTCATCGGGGGCTACTCTTCGTTGCGGTGTGCGGACTTTTCACTGCAGTGTCTTCTCTTGTTGCAGTCGCAGAGCATGGGCTCTAGGCGCGCGGGCTTCAGTAGTTGTGGCACGTGGGCTCATGGGCCTAGTTGCTCTGTGGCATGTGGGATCCTCCCAGACCAGAGCTCGAACCCGCATCCCCTGCAGTGGCAGGTGGATTCCCAACCACTGCGCCACCAGGGAAGCCCCTCTTCCTTTTTCTTATCCCCACTCTTGGCCCCTTCTGATTTGCTGCTTCTGTTCATTCTGTGGCCTAGAAAGTCAGGTAACCACACAGCTTAGTAGTAAGCCAACTCTTCTGGCTCCTAATTTTGTGCTGTTTCCATTATACTACACTGAAAATAAAGGCTAAACCCACAGTGCTTTAAAGTAAGAGTAACTAGATTTTAAAAGGAGATGTTATCTACCACAGTAAAATGCATAGCTTCAGTGACTATAATTGCTGTTTTAACCATTGGACAGCCTTTGTTGTGTGATTCCTGGCCAGGTCATTGAGATTCCTCATATTCATAAACACAGAGAATCAAGTCAGTCAACCAGTATTCCTCGTGCATCTATTGTGCATCAGGTGCGTGGGGAGCACAAACACGCACACATAGACTTCTCTGATTGCATAGTACAATTGACATAACGTGTAGGACTATAGATGTCTTGATAAGTACTTACATTTGAATTCTCCATACAAATAGAAAGTTTTATTTAAGACCGTCCATCATAATGATTGCAGAGGGTCTCATTTAACTTCAAACCTTTATGACTAGATGCATAGTCATGGCCATATTATCTATAATGGCACTTAAAAGAAAGTTGACTTTTCTTCTTACAGTTAATATGAACTCTAATTGAGCCATAGGTTAACTAATCTCATAAATGATAACTCTCATGCATCTGCATCATGGGATTAGAAATAAAAATATGTGTTATATATTATATAGGCTTTATATAGGATAGTTACCCTATATGATAATATACTTAATTCTAAATATCTCCATAGCTTTCTGTCATGTGTACAACCTACATTATTAAAGTTTTATAGAGTCACTTTATAATTTTTATTTAGTCCTAGGCTCTATTTTATTTTATTTTAATTTTTGGCCACGCAATTTGTGGGATCTTAGTTCCCCGACCAGGGATTGAACCTGGGCCACGGCAGTGAAAGCACCAAATCCTTAACCATTGGACCGCCAGGGAATTCCCTAGGCTCAATTTTAAGCAAAATTTTGATTATTTACCAAGATATCTAGGGGTTAAGCACACAGGATTTCTTTATAAACCAGGACAGTATTGATTTTTTTTCATTGTTTAGAAATTATAAAGATACAGTTCATTCAAGTATTCTTTCCAATGAAGGAATTTTTGGTGGCTAGTAATTTCAGGATTTGCTGGCCTTTTTTAGTACATTTTGTGTGTCCTTGGCTTCAAAGTTTTAGAAAGCAAATAAAAACTTCTGGACTTTTTGGCACACTAGTTTTCAAATAGTCGAGTGACAGGGAGGGAATCAAGCTTTGGCAGCCAAACCACAGGTGGCAAATTAACTAAAGCTTCTGCACCTTTTCTATGGGGCTTATCACTGGAAGAAGTTGGCCATTACCCTTTCAAATCCAAAGGTGACAATTAAAATTTTAAATGCTTATTCCTGCCCAGTGGCCTATGACGTTGTTAGAGAAACACATCTTCCATGTCTACTGAAGAAGTTCAGTGAGAAACTCTAGTTTTAGGAACATAACCTGGGTGACTGCCAGCTTTTTCCATAGATTCAACCATCTAATTTAATCACATGCAGCTATTAAAATTACATTGGAAAAGGTTTAATAACAGGAAAATCAATGTATTGTTAAAAACGAACATTTTGTAACTGTAATACATCGTCCCATTTCTGTTGAAAACATTATCTATACACACAACTGGAAGAATATGCATGGCATATTACCAGTGCATATCTTTGGGAGATGATTCTTCTGTGTTTTTTTTTTTTTTTTTCAGATTTTCAGTAGTGATCTTGGATTATTTTGTTGTCAGAAACATGTTATTAAAAAGTATTTTTAACTTTTATTTTTCCTCTAAAGTGAAAGATAACTTGTTCCCTGAGACTCTCTAACCTTGTCATTCAGGAAAGGAGAGAGAGGGGACACACTGTTTTGGTGTTTAGAAGACATGTTGTCAATTTTGATTTAGCTAATTCAACAAATACTTGAGTATCTACATTGTGCCCAGGTAATGTTGAGGATTCTGCATTATACAAAATCCCTGGGAGAAGATGTACCATAAACAGATATTTATGCTTGTGGTGGTCAGTGCTAAGTGCTATAATAATAAAGAATAAGGGGATTATTGAATGTTGGGGAGTAGAGACGTCATTTACCTGTCTGATCCTATGTTCCTTTATCTGTAAAAAGGGTTAGATCAGAGGGATGCTGAAATCCTTCCTCTCTAACATTCTATGACTCCTGTGACTTTTGAATTATAGGCTACCACCTAAGTTATTATTTCACCCAAATGCAGAAATGGGTCAATTTTTAACATTGAGATAAAGAGGAATTATGTATCCTGAGAACAGTACTTGATAAACAGCAAGAATTTTTTTAAAAATTAGTGGTGTTTCTGTAACTGTTGTTAATAATGAAAATCACAGGTAAAGATGGTAGAGTGTTAAATGTTTACCCAGTGTCGTAAATAATATACAAGAATATATTATAAAGGAAATTTCTCTTAGGAAAATAGTACTAACTTTTCTAAGATTGGGGCTTGTATATAAATACATGAAAGCCCTGGAAAACAAAAATTGGACCTTAGTTTTGTTTTCCCAAAAGGTTTATAATCGAAACTCATTTGCGTTTTCATGTGGTCAGGTTATATGAAATAGTGGGGAAACACAGAACATGGAAGAAGTAGATATTCTTTGGATTTGGTTGCAGAAAGCCAAGAGATCAAATAGGCATCATTGTAGACATTTCTCTTTGATTAATAGTAATTTTTCTGAAATGCATTGTCCTGTCTATCTCCTACAATTTATGGCATTATTTAGAAGTTGAATGAACATATAAAACTTGATAAAACCTTGTGTAAGACTTTGCAGAATATAAGTACCTTTTTGTCACAGTACTGCCTCAAATTTGGGGAGTCAAAACCATTCCTTCCTCAAATAGGAATGTTTTACGTGACATTTGTCTTCTGTTGTCTTCCAGAAGCTATTCTTATGATGCCTCATACCACCTTTCTTTGTTTCAGATATCCTCTGGCACCTGCAGGCCTGATGTTTCAGAATCCTCTGAATTGCGTCAGAAGTCACCATTATTTCAGTTTGCCGAGGTAATATATTACAATTTATACTTAATGAAATTGTAAAGTGAGCTTAAATTTGGGCTGATGAAAGTAACTTAAAGCAAAGAAGAACCCTGCGTTCTTAGCTCAAGTAATCATAAAATGGAAAATAGTACCAAATTCTGGAACTTTAGAGTCTCTTAATTAAGGAATAAATATGTTTATAGAAGCTTGTTATTAACTCATACTAAATATTATTGCACTGAAACCTCATCACTAATTTTTATTCATGGATAGGGAAGTTAAGAATATAATTGAACTATTTTTAGAACTTAGTCATTATCAGATATTGATTTGTCAGGTATTAAATCAGAAGACAGAATTGACTCATGGTTATTGGCTGTGCATTCCTTTGTATTTATTTTAAGTAAACTTCTCTTAATTGAAACTTTAGCATGCAGTTGGCAGTTTTCAAAATCTTATGTCTTGTGTCAGACCTGTTTGGCTCAGTATGTCTCTGACATATTCGGAGATGATGTAGAAAAGCACATTATCCTTGACATCAAGTCTAAAGGTTAAGACTGCTTCCCAAAATATCTGCATTTACCCTAGAACTCAATATGGAGCCATCACTGATTACTTTTTTCTTAACTTTAAACCACATGGTCTTCCCTTGATCATTCTAATTGTCTTTCACTAGACCTTCTTTCACACTGTCATCCTTCCTAATGTTTGCCCCTTGTGGTACAGTTTTGTACAAAGGAGAGCATATTTTTAGTTTCAGAATTTTTTCTCCTCTAATGTCCTTTCCTGGTGGTTCTCAACATTTCATTGGCAGAATTACTTTTCACACTGGCATATTAGGTCATTCCTTTTATGACATTGTTTATTATATGCCTAAATGTCCTGCTGATATCACCAGAATGTTTTAATATATATTTGCTCACATAATACTCCTTATCTATCACTTTCCTTTCTGCTCTCTGTGAGATGTGCCATGAATTCCAATTGTTTTTTATATTGTTTCCTCAAGAATTTAATGTAATAGCAGATTCAATCTGCACTCCCTTTTAAACAGTAGTTTTAGACATATTAAATAATGTTAGTCTCAACTTTGAAAGCAGAGATACTTAACCAGTGATCCCTGGTGAAAGATGTAGTGAAATCTCTCAAATTTCACATGAAATTTTGGGTGTGTTGACACATGTGCATGTTTTTGGTTACTACAGCAAACCAGATTCCAAAGAGGTCCCTGACCCTAACCTAATATTTCTTCAGGAGCTCCCTATTCATGTCAACATCTCCTTTATCCCAATATTAATTTGGAGAAACATCCTTTTGTTTAAAGACTTGTGAAATGCTTTTCAAAAATCTAGATTGTTTATACTACTGGTTCTGTTTTGTTCACTATCTAATTTAATCCTTGAAGAAATATATTGTATGGGCTTCCCTGGTGGCGCAGTGGTTGAGAGTCTGCCTGACGATGCAGGGGACATGGGTTCATGCCCCGGTCCGGGAAGATCCCACATGCTGCGGAGCAGCTGGGCCCGTGAGCCGTGGCCATTGGGAGAGGCCACAATAGTGAGAGTCCTGCGTACCGCAAAAAAAAAAAGAAAAGAAATATCTTGTAGGTCAGGCATTTCCCCTTACACAAACTATTTATTTTCTTTAACTTTTATAGAGGGTTTGTAGGAGTGAAAAGTCATGTCGGAAGTAAGACCTACCGTTTATAATTCCCAGGATTTCAGGAACATCCTTGTGGATTCATATCTGCAGTCTGTCACAGCTTGCACATAGAGGTCTTTTGAAATGATAGGTTTCATGGTTTGACCAAGAAGAGTTCTACATCTTTACCCTGAAATATTTTCAAAGTACTTGGTTAGATCTTAGCCATTTACGACAATTTGTATATGTCTAGTTTGTTAAATAGGATCTGGGAGATCTTTTTTCTTTTTACTGATATTTGTTCTAAAAATCCTTATTTGTCTGATGCAAAAGATATGGTGGAATTAAAATTTTCCTAATGCCTTCAGCAGTGAATAGAGTCAATAATTCCATCAGGCTCTCTTCTAATTTTTTCTTATCCCTAAAATTGACTTTGATATTGTATCACCAACTGGCTCCATTGTTTTTCTAAACAACTTAATTTAATTAATATGAAAAAGTGATTGCTGAGATTGAGGAGTCATGATCAAGCTGCATGTATTGCTCAGTAAGTTCCCTTTGATGGAGTCGGTGAGCACAGTTAATTGAAGAAAAAGACTTTTGTGGAACTGGAAATGGGCTGAATTTACAATGCTCACACTTTCTGCACTTGTGACTCATTTTCACCCTAGTTTGTAGTTGTATAGAAACTTTGTTCACTTTGAAACCAAAATTAATAACTGACCTTGGTCTCAAAACATCCTAAAAATTATTTCCATGTGGCCCTCAGAGCAAACTTTTAATGAGGCTACCATAATCACCAAATAGAAACAAAAGTTCTCCTAGCTGAAGCAAGGATGGTGTGACAGAATCATCTATCCACTGTCAGACACCTGAGGGACGTGTGTGTGTGTGTGTGTGTGTGTGTGTGTGTGTGTGTGTGTGTGTGTTGGATGGGAGGATGCATGGTGTTATAAAATAAAGAAATGCTGTTCATATTCAATAAACAATTTATTGAGTTTTGGTGCCATGCCAGGCAGTGTATTCTATGGCTTATTTTCTTCTTACCATAATCCTGTAAAATGGGGATTATCATCATCATCAGTTTACAGTTGGGAAAAATAAATCTCAAGAGAGATTAGCTGAGCTGCCCAAGGTCATGTAGCTAGTGAGTAGCAGAACTAAGATTCAGTCCCAGATACTCTGACCCACATGGTTTGCTTCTCCAACCCTGTTTCACAGCTGTCTCAAAGCAGAGAACAGCTTGAGGGGAGTGCTGTAGGGAGGAGAGAGATCTACTTGCAGCTTTCAACTTTTAATAATATTTTAGAAAATTCACTGAAATAAGGAAATTTATCTCTACAGGTGTCCTCAACTGCTATTTGATACATATCTGACACCCTTTCAAGAGACAAGGCAAATGAGCCAAACTCAGTCTTTTTTGTTCTTTCCACATGTGTTTTTAGAAACATGGCCTTTGTCTTCATTTATCATTGATACTGTTTTTCTAAAAGGGATTGAGGGTGATGACTCATGTCTTAATCTTTATCTGTGTGTACAGTGGAAATATTTGGCAGAATCTATGAGTCTGTTATGGTAAAATGTCCTTGTGCTTTAAAAATTATTTGTTTCCTTTCAGATATCTTCAGGTACCTCCCACCCTGATGTTCCTTCAAAACAATGTCAAGCATCAGCCTTGTTTCAGTTTGCAGAGGTATGGCCTTCTTTTTTGTTGTTGTTTTGCCTTTTTTTTTGAATTTTTGAATTTTATTTTATTTATTTTTTTATACAGCAGGTTCTTATTAGTCATCAGTTTCATCCACATCAGTGTATACATGTCAATCCTGATCTCCCAATTCATCACATCACCACCCACGCCGCCCCGCCACTTTCCCCCCTTGGTGTCCATATGTTTGTTTTCTACATCTGTGTCTCAATTTCTGCCCTGCAAACTGGTTCATCTGTACCATTTTTCTAGGTTCCACATATATACATTAATGTACAATATTTGTTTTTCTCTTTCTGACTTACTTCACTCTGTATGACAGTCTCTAGATCCATCCACATCTCAACAAATGACCCAATTTTGTTCCTTTTTATGGCTGAGTAATATTCCATTGTATATATGTACCACATCTTCTTTATCCATTCGTCTGTCAATGGGCATTTAGGTTGCTTCCATGACCTGGCTATTGTAGATAGTGCTGCAGTGAACATTGGGGTGCATGTGTCTTTTTGAATTATGGTTTTCTCTGGGTATATGCCCAGTAGTGGGATTGCTGGATCATATGGTAATTCTATTTTTAGTTTTTTAAGGAACCTCCATACTGTTCTCCATAGTGGCTGTATCAATTTACATTCCCACCAACAGTGCAAGAGGGTTCCCTTTTCTCCACACCCTCTCCAGCATATGTTGTTTATAGATTTTCTGATGATGCCCATTCTAACTGGTGTGCGGTGATACTTCATTGTAGTTTTGATTTGCATTTCTCTAATAATTAATGATGTTGAGCAGCTTTTCATGTGCTTCTTGGCCATCTATATGTCTTCGTTGGAGAAATGTCTGTTTAGGTCTTCTGCCCATTTTTGGATTGCATTGTTTGTTTTTTTAATATTGAGCTGCATGAGCTGTTTATATATTTTGGAGATTAATCCTTTGTCCATTGATTCGTTTGCAAATATTTTCTCCCATTCTGAGGGTTGTCTTTTCGTCTTGTTTATAGTTTCCTTTGCTGTGCAAAAGCTTTTCAGTTTCATTAGGTCCCATTTGTTTATTTTTGTTTTTATTTCCATTACTCTAGGAGGTGGGCCAAAAAAGATCTTGGTGTGATTTATGTCAAAGAGTGTTCTTCCTATGTTTTCCTCTAAGAATTTTATAGTGTCCAGTCTTACATTTAGGTCTCTAATCCATTTTGAGTTTATTTTTGTGTATGGTGTTAGGGAGTGTTCTAATTTCATTCTTTTACATGTAGCTGTCCAGTTTTCCCAGCACCACTTATTGAAGAGACTGTCTTTTCTCCATTGTATATCCTTGCCTCCTTTGTCATAGATTAGTTGACCATAGTGCGTGGGTGTATCTCTGGGCTTTCTATCCTGTTCCATTGATCTATATTTCTCTTTTTGTGCCAGTACCATATTGTCTTGATTACTGTAGCTTTATAGTATAGTCTGAAGTCAGGGAGTCTGATTCCTCCAGCTCCTTTTTTCCCCTCAAGACTGCTTTGGCTATCCGGGATCTTTTGTGTCTCGATACAAATTTTGAGATTTTTTTGTTCTAGTTCTGTGAAAAATGCCATTGGTAATTTGATAGGGCTTGCATTGAATCTGTAGATGGCTTTGGGTAGTATAGTCATTTTCACAATATTGATTCTTCCAATCCAAGAACATGGTATATCTCTCCATCTGTTTGTGTCATCTTTGATTTTTTTCATCAGTGTCTCATAGTTTCAGTTTGCAGAGGTATGGCCTTCCTTTAATATATATATATATACATATATATATACACACACACACACACACACACACACACACACACACACACACACACACA